CGATCTCAGTGAGGAGTTTAGATGATTGTGTGGCATTCTCCCGCAGAATCGAGGAGAAGGAATCGAGGGATGAGAAATGAGGCGCGGCCGTGGAGCTGTAACGCGAGAAGCTCTGATTCACAACAGGACGATCTCAGCGTTTTACCATCACAGGATGAGATCATGACTGTACGGGTTTATCTGTAGAGACGCTCGCTCACGATAGAATAAAATAAAATACAAATAGACAAATAGATTCTAACAGATACAATAAAATGAACAAAATGAAGTCTGGTCCTTGTTCAGTGCAAAAGAAGCAGTAAATAATTAAAGATAAAAAACATAATATCACTATGGATGTTAAAGTTCTCACTCCTTTTCACTAACTACATTTTAAAACTATTTCCATGACTTTTTCATAACCTAAAGTGAATTTTCCACCGGTACCAGGCCGCGAAAGTGCAAACCCCCTCCCATAGGCTACACCCCCCCTCCCGCGGTGCGAGCTGCGCCACGAAACCAGGTCTAAAACTGGTCTTAAAATGGGACTAAAATAGGATTAAAACAGGTCTTTAAACAGGACTGAAACGGGACTACAACGGAACTAAAACAGGTCTTAAAACAGGACTAAAACAGGTCTAAAAACAGGACTAAAATAGGATTAAAACAGGACTAACACAGGTCTAAAAACAGGACTAAAACGGGACTAAAACAGGATTAAAACAGGTCTGAAAACAGGTCTAAAAACAGGACTAAAACAGGATTAAGACAGGACTAAAACAGGTCTAAAACAGGACTAAAACGGGACTAAAACAGGATTAATACAGGACTAAAACAGGTCTAAAACAGGACTAAAACGGGACTAAAACAGATCTGAAAACAGGACTAAAATGGGACTAAAACAGGATTAATACAGGACTAACACAGGTCTAAAAACAGGCCTAAAACAGGACTAATACTGGTCTTAAAACAGGTCTGAAAACAGGTCTAAAACAGGACTAAAACGGGACTAAAATGGGACTAAAACAGGTCTGAAAACAGGTCTAAAAACAGGACTAAAACAGGATTAATACAGGACTAAAACAGGTCTAAAAACAGGACTAAAACGGGACTAATACAGGTTTTAAAACAGGTTTGAAAACAGGTCTAAAACAGGTCTAAAAACAGGACTAAAACGGGACTAATACAGGTCTTAAAACAGGTCTGAAAACAGGTCTAAAACAGTTCTAAAACAGGTTTTAAACCAAGACTAAAACAGGATTTAGCCAGGACTTAACCGTGCCACCGGACCGCCCACCGTGCCTCCTCCCGTACGCAGCACAAAAAAGTTTGGGGACGAGTGTTTTACGGCTCCTACATGTGGAGAATTGATCCGACTTTTAGGACTAAATATAAAACGTGAACTCTTTCCACTCACTTTACGGGTTGGGATTATAGTTTTTTTTTAGTGGTGGTTTGCAGTTTGGGGCCCTAGGTGGACGTGAGTTTGGGGCCCTCACTTTAATGCACCGTTGTTGTTTTTTTAAATGTATTTATTGTCTGTTTTTGCCCGTTGTTCTTGAGACACGTACGTCGTTCTTTGGATTACGGTGGATTGGAAACTTGTCTTGTGAGTTCGGTCGCTCGATATCCAGAACTGAAAGTGTTTTTTGGAGTGGAGCCGCTGTTGGTCTCGTTTATCTCGGGCTCGTCGTGGCGAGGTCTTGGGCAGGTCTGGAGGTTTTGGTCTCTTTGGTCTCTTTGTTCAGGGCGTTTTTCTGGAGATATGGAAAGTTCCTGATAAAACTTTTCTGAGACGTAACTACAGCGAGAAAGTGGAATTAAAAAGCTCAGGTTCAACTGTTTTCTGATGATCGTTGTGGGCTCTGGGTTCTCTCTCTTTCAGTCTCAAGTCTAAGTTTAGTCCTGGTTTAGTTCTGGTTCAGTCCTTGTTTAGACCTAGTTTAGTCCTAGTTTAGTCCTGTTTCAGTCCTGGTTTAGTTCTGTTTTAGTTCTGGTTTAGACCTGGTTTAATCTTGGTTTAGTCCTGTTTTAGTCCTGGTTTAGTCCTACTTTAGTCCTAGTTTAGTCCTGGTTTAGTCCTAGTTTAGTCCTGGTTTAATCCTAGTTTAGTCCTGGTTTAGTCCTAGTTTAGACCTGGTTCAGACCTGGTTTAGACCTGGTTTAGTCCTAGTTTATTCCTGGTTTAATCCTAGTTTAGTCCTGGTTTAGTCCTAGTTTAGACCTGGTTCAGACCTGGTTTAGACCTGGTTTAGTCCTGTTTTAGTCCTGGTTTAGTCCTACTTTAGTCCTAGTTTAGTCCTGGTTTAGTCCTAGTTTATTCCTGGTTTAATCCTAGTTTAGTCTTGGTTTAGTCCTAGTTTAGTCCTGGTTTAGTCTTGGTTCAGTCCTGGTTTAGTCTTGGTTTAGTCCTGGTTTAGTCCTAGTTTAGTCCTGGTTTAGTCCTGGTTTAGTCCTAGTTTAGACCTGGTTTAGTCCTGGTTTAGTCCTGGTTTAGTCCTAGTTTAGTCTTAGTTTAGTCCTAGTTTAGTCCTGGTTTAGTCTTGGTTTAGTCCTGGTTTAGTCTTGGTTTAGTGTTGGTTTAGTCTTGGTTTAGTCCTGGTTTAGTCCTAGTTTAGTCCTGGTTTAGTCCTAGTTTAGTCCTAGTTTAGTCCTGTTTTAGTTCTGGTTTAGTCCTAGTTTAGTCCTGTTTTAGTTCTGGTTTAGTCCTAGTTTAGTCCTGTTTTAGTTTTGGTTTAGTTTTGGTTTAGTCCTGGTTCAGTCCTAAAAGGAGCAGTGTTGTAACTCGTCACAGAAGTGTTTTTTCGTGTGTTTTTTGAATGTTTTTTGTGTGTTTTTTTGCGTGTTTTGTGTGGGGGTTTTTTTCGTGTTTTTCGTACCATCGTATCTTTAAAGCGAAACCTTTAACGCCGCGTTTTGTTTTTCCTAAAGTTTCATTGTTGGACTTCCTGCTCGGGGGCTTCACTTTTTCCCCTCGCACAAACGCGGCGAGAGAAAAAGGAAATGGTGTAAATCCGTTTGCGAGCGGAGCAGACGGACTTAATCCAGGTCACATGCGGCTGAAAGCACCGGAGAGAACGACGACGACGACGAGAACGAGGGGGAGGAGGAAGAGGGGGATCGGGGGGGGGGAGAGGAAGGTAAGAAGGACGGAGGAGGGAGGGAAGGAAGGAGGGAGCGATGACGAGGAGTGAGAGAAGGAGAAATAATACAAATTTAATTAAAAACGAGGATTAGAAGTGCCGTACGAGCCGCGAAAACAACACGAAAATAATAAAAAATCACACAGAAATCACACAAAAACAAACGAGGACACTCCAAGAAATTATAATAAATAAATAAATAGAAATAGAATAAAAGAAATAAAGAATAAAGTCAAGAGAAAAGCAGTTTAACCCTCGAGACGCCGCTGTCAACTTAAACTGACAAGAAGAAAACTGAATAAAATGAACGATTTTGACAAATAGAGTGAAAAAATTTTATTCAAGCTAAACCAGGACTAAACCAGGACTAAACCAGGTCTAAACCAGGTCTAAAACTGAACTAAACCAGGTCTAAACCAGGTTTAAATCAGGACAGAACCAGGACTGAACCAGGACCAAACAGGTCTAAACCAGGACTTAAACTAATCTAAAACCAGGACTGAAACAGGACTAAATGAGGTCTAAACCAGGTCTAAACCAGGACTAAACCAGAACTTAAACTAATCTAAAACCAGGACTAAACAAGGACTAAACCAGGACCAAAATTGGACTAAACCAGGTCTAAATGAGGTTTAAAACAGAACTAAACCAGGATTAAACCAGGACTAAACCAGGACTGAACCAGGACTAAACCAGATCTAAACCAGGACTAAAACTGAAATAAAACTGAACTAAAACAGGTCTAAACGAGGTCAAAACCAGGTCTAAACCAGGATTAAAACTGATCTAAACCAGGACTAAACCAGGATGAAAACAGGACTAAAACAGGACTCAACCAGGACTGAACCAAGTTTAAACTAGGACTGAACCAGGACTGAAACAGGACTAAATCAGGTCTACTAAACAGGACTAAACAGAACTAAACCAAACTCAGGACTTAAACTAATCTAAAACCAGGACTAAAACAGGACTAAACCGGGATGAAAACAGAGGGGACAGGGCCGTTGCTCAGATTTGTGTGTCCTGAGGACTAAACCAGGACTGAAAAGGACTGAACCAGGACTAAACAGGACTGAACCAGGACTGAACCAGGACTAACCAGGACTGAACCAGGACTGAACCAGGACTGAACTAGGACTGAACCAGGACTAACCAGGACTAAACCAGGACTGATCCAGGTCTGGAACCAGACCGGGACCAGAGTGGACTCTGAGCTTTGACTCTGAGCCTCCGCAGGGTCCGAGCCTCAGCTTCGAGCTCTGGCCCTGCTGTGGGCTCTGAGCCTCTGGTCTGGTCTCGGTCTGGTCTCGGTCTGGTCTTGGTCTTAGTCCTGGTCTCGATCTCGGTCTGGTCTCGGTTTCAGTTCTGGTCTCAGTCTCGGTCTGGTCCCAGTTTGGTGCCGGCCTGGTCCTGGTCTGATCTCGATCTCAGTCTCAGTCCCACTCTGGTCCCGCACTGGTCCCGGTCTGGTCTCGGTCTGGTTCTGGCCTGGTCTTGGTCTTAGTCCTGGTCTCATCTCAGTCTGGTCTCGGTCTGGTCTCAGTCTCGGTCTGGTCCAGTCTGGTCCCGGTCTGGTCCCGGACCTGGATCAGTCCTGGTTCAGTCCGTATTCGGGAAACGGCCGTTATCAGTTTTTTTCCATTTTTCATTTAAACACAAAATTGAAAAGTGAAAAAAATTAATCATTTTCTGTTTTTACATTTTGGTTTTGGAGACAAATAACGAAGAAAATAGTTGTTTTTTGGTTTTCTTCTTCTTATTCCAGGAGGGGTGAGGGGGCGGGGTTAGACGGGGTTAGACGGGGTTAGACGGGGGCGTGAGGACGGGGGGGGGGCCTCACAAACATCGCGTCCTGCGGGTGGCGCCGTTTCAGGGACAATGCCCCAATTACTCGTCTTTTATTCCTCCGTCGCGTCTCGTCTTTTTGACACGAGCTTCAAACGTCCGAGCGGCGCCGGGGTCAGAGGTCGGGGGTCGGGGTCGGGGGTCGGAGGCACTAAAGCTGCATTGTGTAACTTTTCCGGTGGAGAGTCCGTTAAACGCTTTTCTCCATGGAGCTTATGGGTTATCTTTTTGTCTGGAATGTTCCACAGTACGGCATTAAACCTTCCTATCTCCACGGAGACGGAACCGGACCGAGTTACGGGTCGGATCTGTGGAGAGGCGACGCAGCTCACAGACAAAATATTGTTTTTCTAAGTATTTTTGAGTTATAAAACCATCTGTAGAGCTGTTTAAAGTCACACTGCGGAACATTCCAGGCAGAGCAGTGACCAGAAAAGTTACACAATGTACCTTTAAGTAAAAGTATTAAAGTACATGTACTTTAAGAGTGAAAAGTTAAAGCATTTTGCAGAGATTTTTTAGAACAATTAAAGAAAGAAATGCAGTGATTTTGATCAAGAATTCAGCTGATTTTAAGTGATTCAAGTGATTTCTTAATTTTTCTTAATTTTTGGTCTAAAAGAGGTCTAAAAACAGACTAAACCAGGACTAAAACAGGTCTAAAACAGGTCTTAAAACAGGATTAAAACCAGGACTAAAACAGGACTTAATCCTGCCACCGGACCGGTAAAATAAAAATAAAATAAATAAATAATAATAATAATAATAATAATAATAATAATAATAATAATAATAATAATAAGGGAGAGAAGAGTTGGAAGAAAAAATTATGCTTTAACATTTTTATAAATAGTAAAAGATGATGAAACGAAATGATGACTAAAAAAATGGGTGAAAAAAAGAAGAAGAGCAGAGAGGAAAAAAAAGGAACTTAAATTATAAACTGGCCAAAATATCAATATATTAAAAATTAAATAAATAAAAAATACTTTTACACAGAAGTCGAGCCCATGGAGACAGAGGGAGGGCATCTGACACACACAAAAGTATATTTAAATATTTGTAAAGTAAATTATTTTTCTTAAATAACTGTCAGACTATAACCATTCACATTTCGTTTTTTTTTTTATTTCGATTAATTTACGATTCCACCTGATGCCAACAAATATCTTTCAGAAAAGTTTGAACCGATATTTACAAATAATAAGAATAAAATTGCACAGATATTTTCATAGATTATAATAAAAACACAATTTCTTTAGACAAGACAAAGTGATTTTCTGGATTAAACGGTCTCACTTTCACTTCTGTTCACATGTGGTGTTATGTGTGCGCGTGTGTAATCTCTCGGTGTTTTCATATTTTGCCGTTGATTGTGTGTACGGTGCGCATACGTGTGATCCGGTTACATAAGTGTGTGCGCTGGGTGCACAGGAGCACGAGGCGGATAAAGAGGAAGTGTGCGGCTCAAACTGCGGAAGTCAAAAGTGCTGAGGCTCTGAGCGGGAACTGGACCAAGACTCCAAAACTGTACGAATATGCAACATCTGCACACGCTCGAGTGTGAACGGGCAGTGTGAACGCAGTGTGAACGGGGCAGTGTGAACGAGGCAGTGTGAACGGGGCAGTGTGAATAAACGGGCAGTGTGAACGGGGCAGTGTGAACGGGGCAGTGTGAACGGGACAGTGTGAACGAGGCAGTGTGAATAAGGCAGTTTTAATGTAGTAGTGTTTGTTTTGTAGTGTGAATATAGTAGTGTGAATGGAGCAGTGTGAATGGAGCAGTGTGAATGGAGCAGTGTGAATGGAGCAGTGTGAACGGAGCAGTGTGAACGGGACAGTGCGAACGGGCAGTGTGAATAAGGCAGTTTTAATTTAGTAGTGTTTGTTTTGTAGTGTGAATATAGTAGTGTGAATGGAGCAGTGTGAATGGAGCAGTGTGAATGGAGCAGTGTGAATGGAACAGTGTGAATAAGGCAGTTTTAATTTAGTAGTGTTCTTTTTGTAGTGTGAATGGAGTAGTGTGAGCAGGGTAGTGTGAACGGAGCAGTGTGAATAAGGCAGTGTGAACGGAGCAGTGTGAATAGAACCGTGACTGGAGCAGGTTTTAATTTTGTAAAGTTTGTTTTGAAGTGTGAATGCAATAGTGTGAACGGAGTAGTGTGAACAGGGTAGTGTGAACAGAGCAGTGTGAACAGAGCAGTGTGAACGGAGTAGTGTGAACGGAGCAGTGTGAATGAGGTTTTAATTTTGTAGAGTTTGTTTTGAAGTGTGAATGCAATAGTGTGAACGGAGTAGTGTGAACAGGGTAGTGTGAACAGAGCAGTGTGAACAGGGTAGTGTGAACAGAGCAGTGTGAATGAGGTTTTAATTTTGTAGAGTTTGTTTTGTAGTGTGAATGTGGTAGTGTGAATGGAGTAGTGTGAATGGAGTAGTGTGAATAAGTTAGTGTTCATTTTGTAGTGTGAATGGAGTAGTGTGAATAGAAAAGTGTGAACAGGGTAGTGTGAATGGAGCAGTGTGAATAGAGCAGTGTGAACAAGGTTTTAATTTTGTAGAGTTCGTTTTGTAGTGTGAATGAGTAGTGTGAACAGAGTAGTATTCGTTTTGTAGTGTTCAATTTGTAGTGTTTTAAATATATAGTGTGAATGTAGTAGTGTGAATGTAGTAGTGTGATTGTAGTAGTGTGAATGTAGTAGTGTTGATTGTAGTAGTGTGATTGTAGTAGTGTTGAATGTAGTAGTGTTGAATGTAGTAGTGTTGAATGTAGTAGTGTGAATGTAGTAGTGTTGATTGTAGTAGTGTGATTGTAGTAGTGTTGAATGTAGTAGTGTTGAATGTAGTAGTGTTGAATGTAGTAGTGTGAATGTAGTAGTGTGATTGTAGTAGTGTGATTGTAGTAGTGTTGAATGTAGTAGTAGTGTTGAATGTAGTAGTGTGTGTAGTAGTGTTGAATGTAGTAGTGTTGAATGTAGTAGTAGTGTTGAATGTAGTAGTGTTGAATGTAGTAGTGTGAATGTAGTAGTGTGATTGTAGTAGTGTGATTGTAGTAGTGTGAATGTAGTAGTGTTGAGTGTAGTAATGTTTGTCTTGTAGTGTTCAATTTGTAGTGTGAATGCAGGAGTGTTATTTTTGTAATGTGAATATTTTATGGCTTCAGAAAATGAACATTTCAAAGTAGTAAAGTACTGTAGTGTGCTATCGATGGACACGTTTTACTTTTACTTCATTAGATTTGGGAGAAGGCTTTTTTGAGCAGGACTCAAAAGTAAAAGTATTTTTTATGATAGTTTGAGACCTGCTGAAAAGGTTCCGGGTTTATTTTAAACACATTTGTAGTTTGAACAAACACAAATATACAAATAAAAACGACTAGAAATATCAAAATTCTGAATAACTTTTTCTCTCATCCTCATGGCTGGTGTGACGCTCTTTTGAAATATATTAAATTAAAGATAAATGTTGTAGCTTTTGGGTTGGGGCTCCGTCACCTGCTTGTTTCTATGGAGATGTCATTTCTCTGTCTGGAATGTTCCGCAGTGCGACATTAAACAGCTCGACTTTTATATACCGCTACATTTATTCAAGCACAGGTGGTTTCAGAGCTCAAAAATCCCTAGAAAAACCGACATTCTGACTGTGAGCGGAGTCGCCTCTCCACAGATCTGACCTGTGACTTGGTCTGGTTTGGTTTCCGTGGAGATAAAAAAGGTTTAATGCCACACTGTGGAAAAGCATTTGACAGTTTGATAGTTTCAGAATACACTTTTAAATGATGTTCTTATCATAAAAACAAAACAAAAAAGAATACTGTGGTTAAAAAACACTTGAGCGACTTTATTTGGACACAGGAGCTCACAAAATATTATAATAACAAAGAGAAATGGTTTCATAAATTCTAAATCAGTGAGTAAATAAATAAGAGACTGCTGTAAAATGAGGTATAATTCTATAAATGTGCAGAAGCAGGAGTGAAAAGTGCATAAATGTGGTATAAATGTGGTGGTGTCTGTGTGTAAAACGAGAGTAAAAAGCTGCAGCTCGAGGCTCCGGGCTCCAGTCGATCCTCACATGAGCCTGAGGAATTCAGAGCAGCTCCGACATGAAGGACGTGATTCAAGAGACACACGGCTCCAGTTCACATGACATCACAACATTCTACACGACTCACTGTACGGCGGAGGACACGAGGGGACCAGGGGACGAGACGAGACAGGAGCAGGAGACAGGAGCAGGAGACAGAGAGACAAGGGACAGGGATGAGGATGGAAGACAGGGGACAGGAGACAGGGGACAAGGGCAGCAGACAGGGACAAGGACAGGGATGAGGACAGGAGACAGGGAGACAAGACAATAGCAGGACACAGGGGGGCAGGAGACGGACGAGGACAGGGGACCAGAGACAGGGCTGGAGACAGCGGACAGAGGACGGGACAGGGGTAGGAGACAGTGAGACAAGACAGGAGCAGGAGACGGGGGACAGGGAGAAAAGACAGGAGACAGGGGGAAGAGACAGGAGACAGGGGACAGGAGATAGGGAGAAAAGACAGGGGACAGGGGACAGGGCTGAAGACAGGGACAGGGAGACAGGGGACTGGAGCAGGAGACAGGACAGGAGACAGAGAACGAGGACAGGAGACAGGAACAAGGTTGAAGACAGGGACGGGAGAGAGGAACAGGGCTGGAGACGGGGACGAGGACAGGGATGAAGACAGGAGACAGGGGACCAGAGACAGAGCTGGAGACAGGGGACAGAGGACACAGAGGCAGGAGACAGGGAGAAAAGACAATAGCAGGACACAGGGGGCAGGAGACGGACGAGGACAGGGGACCAGAGACAGGGCTGGAGACAGCGGACAGAGGACAGGGGCAGGGGACAGGAGACAGGGAGACAAGACCGGACAGGAACAGGACTGAAGACAGGGACAGGAGACGAGTCAGGGGACAGGAGACAGGGCTGGAGACAGGGGACAGGGAACATGGAGACAAGACAGAAGCAGGAATCAGGGGACAGGAGAAGGAGACAGGGAGACAAGATGGGACAGGAGACACAAGACAGTAGCAGGAGACGGGACAGGGAACAGGGACAGGAGAGAGGGACAAAGCAGGAGACAGGACTAGAGGCAAGACTGGAGACAGAGACAGAGCTGGAGACAGAGCTGGAGACAGAAGACAGGGACGGAGACGGGGGACAGGAACAAGGCTGGAGACAGGGATGGGGACAGGGGACAGGGGTGGAGGTAGGGACAAGTTAAGAGAAAGGGACCGGGCAGAAAACAGGGACAGGAGACTGGGACACATCAGAAGACAGGGCTAGAGACATGGACAGGGACATACACAGGACATGAGACTGGAGTCAGGGGACACGTTAGAAGACAGGGACAGGGCAGGAGACGGGGGACAGGAGACAGGAACAGGGTTGAAGACGGGGACAAAGTAGGAGACAGGGTTAGAGGCAAGGACAGAGCTGGAGACAGAAGACAGGGACGGAGACGGGGGACAGGAACAGGGCTGGAGACAGGGATGGGGACAGGGGACAGGGGTAGAGACAGGGACATGTCAAGAGACGGGGACAGGAGACTGGGACACATCAGAAGACAGGGCTAGAGACATTAGACAGGGCAGGAGACACGGACAGGGACAGACACAGGGCACGAGACAGGAGTCAGGGGACACGTTAGAAAACAGGGACAGGGCAGGGGACAAAGGCAGGAGACGGGGACAGGGCAGGGGCAGGGGACAGGGAGACGGGGGACAGGGCAGGGGACAAAGGCAGGAGACGGGGGACAGGGCAGGGGAGGCAGGAACGGGCAGGGGACGGGGAACAGGGCAGGAGACGGGGACAGGGCAGGGGACAAAGGCAGGAGACGGGGGACAGGGCAGGGGACAAAGGGAGGAGACGGGGACAGGGCAGGGGACAAAGGCGGGAGACGGGGACAGGGCAGGGGACAAAGGCAGGAGACGGGGGACAGGGCAGGGACAAAGGCAGGACGGGGGACAAAGGCAGGAGACGGGACAGGCAGGAGACGGGGACAGGCAGGAGACGGGGACAGGGCAGGGGACAAAGGCGGGAGACGGGGACAGGGCAGGGGACAAAGGCGGGAGACGGGACAGGGAGGGGAAGGCAGGAGACGGGGACAGGGCAGGGGACAAAGGCAGGAGACGGGGGACAGGGCAGGGGACAAAGGCGGGAGACGGGGACAGAGGGGAGGCAGGAGACGGGGACAGGGCAGGGGACAAAGGCAGGAGACGGGGACAGGGCAGGAGCTGCGGTGGAATGTGGACCTGTCAGATTTCAGATTTGTGGACGTGGTTTATGGTTCATATCTCTGTAATGACTGGGCCTGTCCACATGAAACAAAAACCTGCTCAGAGTTCAAGGTCTCCTCCTCTGTCCAACCAGAGTTTACTGCTGTCACTTCAAACTCCTGTTGTGACAATTAAAACAAAAAAAAAAAATACAAAGTGGATTTTCCCTCTGGTCAGGCTCAGATTCGGTGTCACTTGGGGGACGGGGCTCGTAACAGAGC